ATCACGTGATTTCTCTTGGTTTTGTTATTGATACAGTCAGTTAGGCCAATAGTTTTCCTTATTTTGAACTAACCCTACATTCCTGGTATAAATCCCACTTGGTCATACTGTATGATCCTTAAGATATGTTGCTGTAATTTTGTTGGTTGCATCTTATTTTTTTTTGTATCAACATTAATTAGGGAAATTGGTCTGTAGTTTTCCTTCTGTCTTAGCTCTTACTGGTTTAGGTATCAGCACATTTGTGTCATAAAAGGAATTTGTTAGGACAACTTCATCTTCCCCTCTCACCCCTCCCCACCCCCAACTAATGAATCCATATAGTCCTGGTAATTTTTTTCTTAGAGAGTTCATTGATAGCTTGTTCAGTTCAAGTATTCTATGGTCTCTTTTGTCAATCTAAGGAATTTATATTTTAGCAAACATTCATCTGTTTCACTTAGATTGTCAGATTTATTGGTACACATTTGGGCACAATAGCATCTAATAATTGTTTTAATTTCCTCTTTATTGGAGGTGAATTTACCTTTTCACTTTTGATATTGGTAATACGGTTTTCTCCTTTCCTTTTTTAAATTAAAATAAACAATGATCATTTATTCTATTGGTTTTTTTCCCTCATAAAACCAGCTCCTAGTTTTATTAGTTCAATGGTTTTCTTATTTTCAATTTTGTTTATCTCCCCTTTGATTTTCAAGATTTCCAATTAGTTGTTTAATTATGTTTTCTAGTTTTTTTTTAGTTGAATATCTGATTTGTTGATCTGTTCTTTCTCTAACTTACTGATGTATTCAGAGTTATACATTTTGTCCTAAATAGTTCTTTGGCTGCACCTCAAGAATTTTGGTATGCTAATTGTTGTCATTCTCTTTAATGAAATTACTGTTTCTACTATCTGTGCTTTGACCCACTTATTCTTTAGTATTATTGCTTCCAATCAATTAATTTTTAATCTATCTTTTCACTGTCCTTTATTGAATGTAATTTTTATTACATTATGACCTGAAAAGGATGTATTTAATGTTTCTGCTTTTGGTTGAGGTTTTCAATGCCCTCACAGATGGTCAATTTTTGTGGAGGTGCCATGTACCACTGAGAAAAAGGTATAACCCTTTCTATTCCTATTTAATTTTCTACAGAGGTCTATCATATCTAACTTTTCTAAAATCTTATTCATCTTTTTTCTTGTTTACTTTTATCAGATTTATCTAATTCTGAGAGGGGAAAGTTGAGGTCCCCAAGTATAGTTTTATTTACTACTTCCTCTTCTAATTTAACTTCTTTAAAAAATTAAATGCTATATCATTTATTGCATCTGTGTGTATCTGTACACACATACACATATACATATATATGTATATGTGCTTATTATTGCTATTACTTCATTGTCTATGGTACTTTTTTAGCATGATATAGTTTTCTTCTTTATCTCTTTTAATTAGATTTTTGCTTTTGCTCTGTCTGAGATCTGATTACTACTCCTGCTTTTTTTTTTAACTTCAGCTAAAACATAATAGATTCTACACTAGCCCCATACCTTTACTCTACTTCTGTGCTTCAAATGTTTCTTGTAAACAACACATTGTAGGATTCTGATTTTTAATCCATTCTGCTTCTTCCATTTTATGATTGAGTCCATCCCATTCACATTTACAGTTATGGTAACTTTTTATTTCCTTACATCCTATTTTGTCCATTTTTCTTTCTCTCATCTTTCACCCTGCCCCTCCTCCTACCAACCCTCTCCCCTCACCTCCTATCCCCATTACTTCTTATTTCCTTATAGATTAAGATAGAATTCTATGACCAACTGAGTGTGTTTATTATTCCTTCTTTAAGCCAATTCCAATGATAGTAAATTTTAAGTGTGGCCCATCCCTCACACTCCTCCCATTTTCCTTTCCACTTTTGTATCTCTTTTATGTGAGATAATTTACCCCATTCTTCTTCTCTATTCCCTCTTCTCCCAGTGCAATCTTCTTTCTCACCCCTTTTGGTTTTTTGGGATATCATCCCATCATAGTCAACACACCCTTGCCCTCTGTTTATGTACACACCTTCTAAATGATATGTATACTCTTTCTAATTCCTGATAGTGATAAAGTTCTTGAGTTATTATAAGTGTCATTTTCCCATGAATGAATGTAAAGTTTAGCCTTATTGAATCCCTTATGTTTTCTTTTTCCTGTTTACCTTTATATACTTAAGTCTTATATCTGAAGATAAACTATTTTGTTCAACTTTGTCTTTTCCTCAGGAATGCTTTAATGTCTATTTCATTAATTATCCATTTCCCCCCTCTCCCTTAAAAATTATGCTGAGTTTTGTTGGGTAGGTGATTCTTGGTTGTAATCAATTCTAGTTCCTTGCCTTCCAGAACATCATATTCCAAGCCCTCTGGTCCTTTAATGTAGAAGCTGTTAAACCCTTTGTAATCCTGAATGTGGCTCCGTGATATTTGAATTGTTTTTTCCAGACTGCTTGGAGTATTTTCTCCTTGACTCAAGGACTCTGGAATTTGTAATATTCCTGGGAGTTTTCATTTTGGGATTTCTTTCAGGAGGTGATCAATGGATTCTTTCAATTTCTATTCTACCCTCTGGTTCTAGAATATCAGGGCATTTTTCCTTGATAATTTTTTGAAATACAATTTTTTTTTATCATGGCTTTCAGGTAATCCAGTGACTTTTAAATTATCTGTCCTGGATCTGTTTTCCAGATCAGTTCTTTTTCCAATAAGAAACTTCACATTTTCTTCTATTTTTTCATTCTTTAGATTTTGTTGTTTCTTGATGTCTCATGGAGTCATTAGCTTCCACTTGTCCACTTCCAATTTTTAAGGAAATATTTCTTCAGTGAGCTTTTGTACCTTTTTTTCTAATTGGCCAGTTCTACTTTTTTTTTAGGCAACTGGGGTTAAGTGACTTGCCCAGGGTTACACAGCTAGTAAGTGTCAAGTGTTTGGTCTGAGGCCAGATTTGAACTCAGGTCCTCCTGACTTCAGGGCCAGTGCTCTATCCACTGCACCACCTAGCCACTCCCAGTTTTACTTTTTAAGGAGTTTTCTTCCATGAATTTTTGTACCTTCTTTTTTACTTAGCCAATTCTATTTTTAAGGAGTTATTTTCTTCAATACATCTTTGTATACCCCCCTCCCCCATTTTTATGCTTCCTTTACCAAGCTGTTGACTCTTTTTTCATGATTCTCTTATTTCTTCTAACTCACTTATATTCAAGTTGATTTGTAACTATAACTGAGCCTTTATCCAAATAGTAGTTCTTATATCAGGTGACTACACCAAACCCTCCCTGCTCAGTGAGGATTTTATATCTAGGGTCCCCCAGGAATTATAGTCACCTGACTTCTTGTAACTAGATTTCCTATTTTGATTTTGATCAGAAGATAAGACTCTCTTTTGCCGTTAACAGTAAATAGCCACCTAAGTATCCCTCAGTAGGGAATACCAAATACTATGCTTTTCTTCCTCTGACCCTTTGGGATTATCTGTCATTGACACCTGTGGCTCTGCTTGTTAATTTCTTGGAGAACATGTAGCTGTTCTACCTTAGAGCATTCATGCAAGTGAATGCTTCATCCCTGTACTGAAGGCCTTAATGATTCTGGCCCTTTCTGAAGGTCTACCTTTGGGTTGGTTCCCTTAGGAGAATGGTACTTACCAACATGGCCTACAAAGATTCTATTTCAGCTTTAAAGCTTAGTTCAATCAATCCATTAAGTATTAAGGGCCTACCATGTACTAGGTACAGTACTAGCTATGGGGGGTACAAAGACAAAAAAAAAGTCTCTGGGCTTGAGGAGCTTACATTCATCGGGGAGATATGTACGTATATATTAAATAATATACTGATGTGCATGTATGCATACATGTTATTTGTATACATATAAATATATGTATATGTATATGTAGGTGTGTGTACACAAGATATTTTTTGGTTGGGGAAAACACTAGCAGCTAGGATCAGGAAAAGCCTCAAGTAACTCATGCCTGAGCTGAGCTTTAAAGGAAACTAGGGCACCTAAAAGGTAGAGGAGAAGAGTACAAAATGGGGGTAGTAGCTACTATAAATAATAGCCATTATAGAACATATATATAACCATACATGAAAAAATCATATAACATAAGACACTTCACAGTGTTGTTGTGAGACTGAAATGAGATAATCTATGCAAAATGTTTAGCAAATTTTAAAGTAATATATAAATGTCAATGATCACTACAGCCTCTACCTTACCATTTTTGCAGTTATCTCAGTTTTTCATAGTAGTATATGAAATTATATCTGACTATACATGTAAAGAAAACACATGATGGAAAATCTTTGAAATTCAATGATTTCTGAAAATATCTTAAGTCTAAAAATATTTTTAAGTCCTTGAAATGTATATCTTACATATATTCAGGTTTATGAAATTATAGAATTATATGCGATGACAATGTTAGTAATATGTAACACTGTCACAAAATTTTTCTAGAAACCAGGAGAAATACATATTATTGAAATAATACCACAGAACTTTTAGTTATTTTGGAAATAAGCTTTTATCTTCAAATGACACTGCCTTTCATATTCCTCTTAGAACACTTAAAACAATTTAAAATCATATTTATTGCTTTGCATACAATAGCTCATATAGTTTTGTAGTTAAAAAATACTCAAAAACAAAGCAATACATCTGGCATTTTCCCCCAAAAATGGGAAATACATTTTGTTGGAGAAAAAAAAAATCAAATTATATTAAGAGAATTTGTACTTCAGTGGGTAATTACAATTGATAATTACTTAAATCATTATACCAGCAAAACAATTAATACTAGCTGATTAGCACATAAACAGAAATAGTTCACCACATTATGGTAAGCAGTAAAGAAAACAAAGCTGAAAACACCCTATTTTAGTGGTAATTTTCAAGTAGATTTCTATTATACTGCATTTCTTTTTCTTCAGATTTGAGCTCATTAATAGAACATTCCTATATGTACAAGGATGCAACAAGTGATACAGTATTTATTTCAACAACAAATTAAAGGTCATAATATACATAACTTAAATACCCCCCATGCTGTGACTGATATTGGCTTCTTATTCCTTAATCATAAACTTCTTCCTTTGATATTCACCAATGATGTTTTCTCATAAAAAGGCACATTCTTATCTGCAAACAAAAAAAGTTGGTAATGATATTTAGATGCCCTGTGTTTTACACATTCTGTTACTTTACAAAGATTTTGTGGAGGTGGGAAGAGAAAAATAAAATTAGATAATCAAAGTTATCAATTTAGGAAATTTAAGTTATTTATATGCACTAAGATTATTTTTATAAATTTTATCAAGTGCAACCAATCCAATACATATCTTAACTATATTACTATAGGCAAATGTACATTTACCCACAGATTTTTAAAACTTCTCACTTTTATTCAGTTTATTTTTTTCCAAACAGATATTCTGTTATATTAGCCTAAGTAAGAAAACACTATTTAATAAATTTTAGCTATGTAACCAATTATAGTAAAAAGCAGATTTTTATTGCTTTAAACTTCAACCAATAAGGTTTATAGAATAATAATAACAATAGTGACAATAATTGCACCTTATAACTTTTACCTAATTTCTAGGCCTTTCAAGAATTGTGTTGAAAGGTATCTTCTAGATAATGAATGTTTTGTTGTAATGACTTTTAATATTCTCACAGGATTGTTTTATGCGCTTACAATGCTTGAATACCTTCTTCCCACCTGTTTGGTATTGGATAAATAATACTCCCAGAATTGAATTTGCCTAAAATGATAAGTTTTATTAAGATTTAAGGATTCTATGTCTTCATAATCAATAATCATAACAAAGTAATATATCCTAGCAATAGACTTGGAATTAGAACTGTGTTTGAATCCTGAGATGCTTAAGTGGTAAAAAGAAACCAGTCAGTCAATAAGCAGCCAGGCACTAGGGAAACAAAGATGGCAAAAGATAGTCACTGCTCTCAAGTAGCCCTTAATAGGGGAAACAACATGAAAACAACTATGTACAAATAAGCTATATATGGGATAAGTTGGAGATAACCAAGTGAAGGAAGTAACCAGCATTAAGGGGGTGTGAAGGAAGGCTTTTGCAAAAGATGGAATTTTAGCTTGCACTTGATGGAAGCCACGGAAATCAGGAGTTGGGGATGGGGAGGTAGAGCATTTTAGGCCTGGGGAACAGTAGAATCTGGAGATGGGGTGAGTGTCTTGGGCGAGGAAGAACAAGGAGGCCAGTCACAGAACCACATAGTACCTGAGAATGAGTAAGGTACAGGAAGACTGGAAAGGTAGAAGACGCTGGATTTTGAAGGGCTTTGAATAATAAACAGGATTTTATAGTTGATACTGGAGGTAACAGGGAGTTGAAATTTATTGAATGGGAGCTGACATGGCCATTCCACTTGGCATCTGTAGTCATGTCTGGTTTCAACTTCAGGAATAAGATACCCCTCTCAAGGGGCTCATCATTTCTAATCTCATCACCATGTTACTAACTCAAGCCTAGACTGATATTAAGTCCCTCAGATTCCTCTCTCCTCTGACTGAAGGGCTGGAGGGTAGAGTTCCAAAACCCTCCCACTGCCTTCCTGTACAGAGGGTAGAAACTGGACTCTCAGGCTCACTATACTTTGCATCTGCTGCTGTGCGTGGTTTCAACTACATGGAACAAGATGGCCCTGTGCCCCTGCTTTCTTGCTTCCTTTTGTATGTTGCCCCTCAACCACCTCCTTTCAGATTGTAAGCTACTCAAGGGCAGGGATGACTATGTTTCTCTTAACTATATCCCCAGTACTTACCACAGTGCCTGGAACATCATAGGCACTTAATAAATGTTTATTGGATTATTGGATTGGCTGGGCAGATCTTTGTTTCAAGAACAACTTGACAGTTGAGTGGAAGATGGACTAGAATGAGGAGAGATCTGAAGCACAGAGAGCAGCCAGCAGGTTATTGCAATAGACCAGGCACAAGGTGCTGAAGCAAATGGTAGCAACATCAAAGGGCGTACATGAGAGCTGCTAAAAAGGTAAAATCAACAGAACTTGATGATAGGTTGGAGAAGGGGGGTAAAAGTGAGGGTTTGAAGATGACACCTAAATTTTAATCCTGGGTGAATGGAAGGATGGTGGCACCCCTGACAATAATAAAGAAGTTGGGAAGATGTGAGGATTCAGGGAACAAGATAATGAGTTCAGTTTGGACATACTGCATTTAAGATATCTATACAACATCCAGTTTGAGATGTTTAAAAGGCAACTGGGTAGGTGAATCTGAAGATTAGAAGAGAAGAAAAGTTTGGATAAGATAAGTAGATCCAAGGATTACCATTATAGGGATAAACCATGGAAGTTGCTGAAATTACCAAGTGAAATGGTATGGAGGTTTAAGATAAGAGGGTCCAGGACCCTAGGGGATACCTACCTTTAGTAGGCTGGAAGAAGATTCAGCAAAGGAGACTGAGAAGGATCGATCAGACAGGTAGGAGGAGAACCAGGATACAGTAATATCACGAAAACCTAGAGAGACAGGGGTATTAAGGAAACAGTGATCGAAAATTTCAAAGCCTGCAAAGAGGTTAAGAAGGATAAGGACTGGAAAAAAAAAAGGCCATTAGATTTGGTAATTGAAAGATTATTGACAACCTTGGAGAGAACAGTTTTAGATGAATGATGGGTTTGAAAGGCAGACTACAAATAGTTATAAGTGAGAGAAGAAAGGAAGCAGAGGCAGGCACTACAGGAGCCTTTTCAAGGAGTTTAGCCAAAAAAAGGAGAAGAAATATGGGATGTTAGCTAGTGGAAATGGACTTGGATCAAGTGAGGGTTTTCTGAGGATGGGAGAAACACAGGCATGTTTGTAAATAGCTAGTAGACAAGGAGAGAATGAAGATAAGTGACAGTATGAGGAAGATGGAGGAGATAATCTTCTGGAGAAGATGGAATGGAATGGAATCACTTGTGCATGAAGAGGCATTTACCTTGGTAAGAAGTGCAACCTCTTTAGGTGAGACATGACTGAAGGCAGAGATAGAAGAAAAAAGCATCTTAATAACGTGAAATGAGGAACAGGAAAGAAGAGGGAGCTCTGGGAGAATGGCCTCAACTTTTTCTGTGAAATATAAGACTAGGTTCTCAAATGACAGAAGGAGGGAAAAGGAGTCATGGGAGGTTTGATGAAGGATGAAAAGGTTTGGATGAGCTGCTGTGGTGAGCTGTACAGTGAGTTAATTAAGGAAGTAAAGAAGGATGGCTTTACCACAGTGAGGGACCAGTTGAGATTATCTAACATAAATTTGTAGTGGATTCAATCTGAATAGTCTCATGATTTTCTCCAGCTTTGTTATGCAGCACATATGTAGGAGCAAAGGTAGCAGATGATGGTAGTGATTCAAGGCTGAGTCTTGGCAGATAAAGATTGGCAATGGGACAGTGTAGAGATGAACTGGTTCATCAAAAAATCAAGAAGGTGAAAGAAGGAAAGCACACTTACTGCAGGGGTGATGGCCTGGGGGAAAAAAAAAACAACAAAAAACAACAAAAAACTGAGAGGCAGGATAAGAGGTCATGATGAGGATGAGGAGAAAGAAGAAAGTTTGTGGTTTTAAAGTAGAGGGAGGGTTGAAATGACAATAGGCTATGATCAGATAAGGGCATTTCAGAGTTCATGAACATGGAAATGTTGCATTTACAGGTAATGGGTAAGACCAAGGGGAGAACAATTTTTGTATGTGACTGAAACGAAGTGGAGGAGTAGGTTATGTAAAATGATTAAGTTGAATAACTGTGAGGTTAGGGTATAGTATAAGGACAGGAGTTAAGAAGGAAAGACTGTGAGCCTGGCAATAAACTCATTGAAGAAATAAGGAGAATGTCCTGGAGATCTATGGGTAACAGTTAACAGGATTTTGATTTGATGGGAGATATGGAGTGAATGAACCTCTAAGGAGATGTTATTGAAGGATGGTAATGGAAGAAGAACTTGCAACAGCACTATTTTCCTTATCTGTAAAGGGGGATAATAATATTGCACTTTAAAGGGTTTTTGAAATAAAACAAATATTTGAAGAGATATATCAAGGTGAGCTGACATTTTATAGATGACCCTTAACCCCCTAATGGTACATAGGGCCCTTCAAGTCATGGATAGGGAGCACAGAATAGTAGAGAGAGCCTGGGGGTCAAGATCTCACCTCTGACATACCCTGGCTGCGACCTGGGTAAGGCACTTAATTCTCACTCTTCTCTCACCCCCCCACCCCTGCCCTAAAACTATTTAAGATTAGAAACTACAAAACAGGCATCAGTCAGCACTGGAAAAGGGCATTCTTTGGTGGAGAGTTGCCTATCTCAGTGAGATGACAGAAGTTGCCATCCAATTTTTCACTGGTTTCGTTCTATTATACTTCACTGTATTTCAATCCATATTCAAAGAACTTTGAAAATAAGGTACCTTGCTGTAATAACAATGATAACAATAATAACAACAATAACAATAAGAATGGAGACAATATCCTTCAGAGGTTCAAGAAAATATATATAAGAAGGGATGGAAATCTAGTATATTATTCTTATAAATCATCCTTTCAAATGATTATTGATACTAAGAAGTCTTGTTAAAGTATTAAGTATATTTTCAATGAAATGTTCTTGATAGTTTTTTATATTATTAGTTATTTAATGAAGGCAAGGATTCCTTTTACAAAATGCCTAAAACAATACCTGTTCCCCCCCTTATTTCAAATTCTATATTTCAAATAGTGTTAAAAACGCAACAATTTTGGTATGCCATTAACCCATTCAGGACTGATATAAAGTAAGTAATCTAATCTAATTTAAAGATAATTAGCACAGCTAAAAACATAAGTCCATCAAATAAGCTATTAACTAACTCATTAACTTAAGTGTTCTTATTTACAGACAATAATTGGAAGGACTTTCCAATCAATTTTTTACAGTTGTCACTGGGATTGTCTTGGGACATTTTTTGTCATAAAGTTTTTTATATTGTGAAACACAGGCTTGAATGAGACTGAAAAGGTAATACTTAATCTACTTAAGAAGAAAATAGGATTTTAAGCAATGCGTACATACATATGATATTGGTTGATTAATTTTATGTTATTCTTTGTTTTGATTGAAAACAGACATATATGGGTACTTATGATTTGGTAGCACCTTTGGTAATACTATTATTACTCCATATATCTTACAGTAATAAAATGATTGCTTCTTTTTAGTTATATAACTAAAACTTTAATCTAACCTAGTATTCCCCTCAGATTATACTCAATTAACAACTTACATTAGAACAAAATTTTGCACATGGGAACAAATCATCTAATTTCTTTGCCAGTAAGTTTTACAGGAGTAAATGGATTACAGAAGGAATTCCATTTTTTGGATAGCTTTACAGGAACATTATAATGGCTCCATTGCATTCAAAATTCTTAAAAACCCAACTCTAATGCTCAATTATGCACTAGTACACTAGTAGATGTGAGGTATTTACTTTTTTGAATTAACTTTCTGGTCTTATATCAGTTATTTTCACAACAGCCTTGCCAAATAAGCAAGGCACAACAAATACTTAATAAACACTTTTGTTCTAAAGGATTCCTCCAATATAACTCAATGTGTGTGTGTGTGTGTGTGTGTGTGTGTGTGTGTGTGTGTGTGTGTGTACAGGCACACACATTCACATGCAACATATATAACAAAGCAATTTTAATGTGTAAAGACTGATGGCAAGCAGCCAAAATGGCCAAAGCTAAGAAAGCTGGCTATTAAGAAGATAACATAATAAAACATGATTCTTCTTGTAATTTTTTATCTAGTACATTGTCTAGCCTGAATTTTTATTTACCTTCGGGGATGACTGGCATCAAACAAAGTTGTATCGTCGTCATCATCATCTTGTTCTAAAGGTGTTAATTCCATATTTTCTAGATTTGTGTCCAAAACTCCATATCTTCGTGTCTTTCTATTTCTTCTTCTCATTCTAACAAAATATACATGTAAAAAATTTTAATATAGCGCAGTTAAAATGTATGGAAGGTCCTCATTTGATAGTAACTTAAAATAACTGTTTAATTTAAATTCACACTTACCTGCACCATACACACATCTAGTGATACCCTACAAATGCTACTGTGTTTTTTTTTTCATCTTGAAATAGTATATTCAGTATATTGAAATGGTATATTCTGTGCTAGGATTTTCTCAGTAATACTGACCTTAGAAAATAATGGCAATTTAAGGGAATGAATATATACTGTAAGAACTGCTGAAGACACAGTCCATACATGAGGACCTTTAAATAGTAATTAATTGAAGATTAGGGTGATTTGAATATAACCACCTAAAGAGAATAAACTGAGGAAAAATTGGGCTGTTCAGTCCTACAACAACAGGAAAGGAAAAAAGAAATAAAATGATTATGATCACGAGAGCTTTTGCTCACCTAATATAAACAAGTCAAAATTTTCATTTAGGTAGACTGGTGTAGGTGAAAAGGGGGAGAAGTCAAGAGTTTAAAAGGAAGAGTTCTGTGATTAGAGGTTAAAGACATTGTCAGTTCTCAAAGGTGGTACAAACCCACTTCTTAGCTTTTTTTTTTCTTTTCTTTAAAGAAACCCAGGACTAGTACCCTATTAAAAAAGTTACAACCTTTGTCAGGGAGAAGCATAACACCAATCATGTAAAACTTAGGTTTATCCTGGCTAGTGCCTCAACAAAAGGCTGCTTGAGAGAGGTTGGCATAAGAGGATATATAAACTAGGTTAACAGAAAGTTGCATCAAAAATCAATGCAGGGAATAAAGCAGAAATGCCAGTGAGGCTTCAGAAAATCCCAACTGGAGACAGGATAGTTACTGATCTGTCTGCCACAATGGAGAATCCACCTTGAGAAGATTCTCTGCCAGTCTTAATTCATTCTCAACTTTAACACTCCTGACACCATTTAAATGTCAGACAAGATTACAACCTTGAGACACAGACTTGGGGCCATCCTTTGCTACCTAATCTTCCTTCATCAGTTGGTGAGTTCTTTGTATATCTACATGGTATTTCTCCTTTTTCATTTTGCCTGAAATAATTTCTCTTTAGGTCTTCAGAATTTCATATTTGAGTTTCCTGTCCCTGCTCAGATGGATTTCCTTTTAAGGATTTTAATCTATAGGATCCTACCTAGTCATCCTCTGAACCTAAAAATCTCCCAAAGGCTAGACAGGGGACACATCAGACTATGCTCAGTTTTTCTATCTTCTATAACAAATTCTAGAAGAGAATGGATACTTTTTGGCAAGGTTCTTATCCCAGCAACCATTTCTTCCTTGTTAGGAAGAATAATTCCCCTTTGTTGGTTCCTCTAGTTAATGAAAGAGAACATTGTTCCTACGCAAAGTAAAAACAAAACAAAACAAAACAAAAACCCAGAGTAATTAAAGCTGAATCAATAAGAAAGCAATACCACATAAGATAAAAGGCTTATGAACAACATCAGAAAGCTGATATACTTAAGCAGAAAGATCCTATTCAGCCGTATCATCCTAAGCCCACACAGCCAGCATAAGCAACCTCACAGACTTTTGTTTTGGGGTACAGCTATTGAGGTCCTCTCATATTTATCAATCAACCCCTGCACAGTTTCTCATGAGACACGAGAAACACTGATCTGGTTTAACTACATGGAAAAAAAAAAGGAATGCAAATGTTGAGGAAGGTAGGGAAGGGGTTTTCATGTACAAGGAGGCAGGAAACCAAGCTACAGGGAGTAGTCATAGGTGAATTTACTCTGGGCAGGAACCCAGCCAACCTCTCCTTTCAACCTTCCTCCCCACAAAGGAAGCTGAGAATATCCTTCATACCCACGTACCAACAGACCTTTCTAACCTTAATATTCATAATTATCCTTCATATTAGAATCCAGTCAAATTGACCTGGTTTTCCTTACACAATGTATTCTGTCTCAGGCTGTCCTCATGCCTGGAATGAGCTCCTCTTACCTCGGCCTCTTATTATTCTGATTTTCTTTCAAATCTAATCCCAAGCACCACCTTCTACATCGGGTCTTTCCTACCTCCTATCCCCCACATTACAGATACTAGTATCTTCCTCCCCAAAAATACTTAAAATATTTCTATTATGTATATATTCATTATGTGTTTAGCATGGTTCCTCGAATTTTATTTTTGCCTGTGTATCCTCAATGTTTGACACATAGTAGATATTTAATAAATGTTTGCTGATTAATTTATGGTGTATATGAAATGTGACCATGCTACAATAATGGAAGGATGAGGGAAAATAGAAACAAGCCATTGAGAATACAAGAAAAAGGTCTGTCTCCCAAGCAAGTAAATAAAAAGTGAATTTCATAAAGACAGAAGGAAAATGAAGACTTCAAAGAGCTGAAATACTGCTATCAGACAAAAAAAATTCACAAGAGGTAAAAGAGGAACTATATTACATGTCAAGCTTTAAAAAAATAAAAAAATAAATAAAACATAAACCTCAATTTTACTGTTATGGAGTACTCTAGATAAGGAAATTCACTCCACCAAAGCAAATCAACATCCTCTTTGAAACTTAATTATCTTTGAGTTAGTGGCCTAGGATACTAGGAAGTTTAGTGAATGGCCAAAGGATCACAAGGCCAGTATTATGACAAGCAGAAATCAAACTCCCATCTTCTGGATTCCAAGGTCACATTTCTGTCCACTATGCCATGCTGCCTCTCATGCTTAAAGGTATCATATACAATGGAACAATATTATTATTTAATAAGTATATCTATATATTTATTCACACACATCAAATGGCATAGAACCTAAATTTATAAATAAAAAGCTAGCTGAACTGTAATGCTGTACTATTACACAGGTAATCAAACAGTTCTAGAAGTTCTAAATAGTCATCTCTTTGTGGCTTAATATAGCAAAAAAAAGAAACTAAAAAAAATTGTGGGAGAATTGTAACTGTTCACTGTTGAAGAGGTAAGAGCTGAAACATACAAGATGGTCTTTTGAATGGTGAGAACTTAAATACACACACACACACACACACACACACACACACACTTTCCACAATCACATGGTACCTTTGGTTAAATACACAATGTATGCTGAAATACTTAGAAATAATAAATATTAACAGTAGATATAAGCAATTCAGCCATTATAGACCATAACATACTATAGCCAGGTTCAGATTAGTGTGAACAATAAATCCCTAGAAGTCAAAGATAACTGAATTTTTCACTATTTGAAATTAAAATTACATAATTATAATGGTAACTTGTTCCACCACAATAGAAACAGGTAGTTTAAAATCAGAATAATGAAAACACTTCAAAGGATTCATTATTCACACTAATCAAGACCTGGCTAGTAAGAAAAGTAAGAAACAAAAGGAGAATATAACTAGATGGCAACTTGGCATTCTAGTAAAGAGCAGGTCAAAAAAAAAAATCATAAAGCAACCAACAACTATGCAAAAGAGAATAATAATGAGAAAACACACCAAAATGTTAGGGATGTAGCTAAAGTAGTCCTTAAAGGCCAATTGCTCTCTCTCACTAATAATTGATATTAAGCAGAAAAAAGGTGATTAATAAACTAACCATTTTTTAACCCAGAAAATAAAGTTAATAAACCCAAAAGAAGCACAAAAGAATCTGAAATCGTACAAATCAGAAAAAAATTATGAAATGGAAAATTAAAAGATAATAGAAATGACAAACAAAACAAAAGGTTGGCTCTTTGAGAAGACTAATTAAAAAGGCAATAAACTTTTAACACAACTGAAAAAATCAAATTTTAAAAAAATTAAAGCATATGCATAAAAGAGGATAAATACGATGAATTATTAGGTCTTACTATACACAATTACATGCTAGTAAAAATGAAAAGATAAAGGAATGAATGGTAATATACAAAAATCTAAAATGCCCAAATGAACAAAATAGAGTTTAATACAATTTAGAAAATTAAAGTAAGAGATATATAAGGAAACTCCTAGGGACAGAGACGGGAGGCCCGCTGATGCAGAAGGATCAATTAATACCTATGCTACTTCTTAAGAAGCAATAATACTCTACCAAATTGCTCTTCTGAGAGAACATGCTCCTAATACCTAAAAAAGGGAGAGATATGTAGAGAGAGAATCATAGACAAATATTATTAATAAATTGCTATATAAAAATCTTAGTGAAAAATACTATAGCAATGTATCTATATTTATATCTTTCTCTTATATACACACTATGACCAAGCTGGATTTATAGAAGGTATGAGAAAATAGTCTAATATCAGAAAGAAATTAACTTAAATATAAAATAGAAACAACCCAAATCATATGACTGTGATGATCAAGTCTTTGAGAAAATGTAGCAATAATTAATGTTAAACATCTAATGAGAATAAGCATAAAAGGGTCATACAAAAAAGTGATTAAAAGTGTATATCTAAAACTAAAAGCATATCTCCTTCCTCTGTTATTACTTGGCATGTAAATTCTGGTAAGTCTACTTTTAGTAATAAGAGAAATAAATTAAAGGAATAAGCACTGGCAAAGAGAAAACAAAATTACCTTTATTTGAGATTACAGTATTCACTTAGAAAATCCTGGATTGGATAATTAGTGAAAAAAATATTTGACAAAATAGTTTAAGCATCAGGATTCAAAGTAAGTTTATGAAAAAATAGTTGAGAAATAATTCTCAATAGCAAGAACAGAAATCAGTAGAACAGGGCAGTAAAAAAAAGAGAAATACTACTTAAAGTAACTACAGAAATGCATAAAATACCTGAAACTCAAGTCAGTGTAACAATTCAAGACTTACATAAACTACAGTTAGAACCAAGCAGAGCAGCTGGCGTCAAACGAAAAGATGGCTCGGATTTTGAGCCCTCTATAAAGGGAAACTATGGGAGGAGTTTCTTGCTCCACCCTCCAGTCCTCCAAATAGAGAGGCAGAAGCCACTAAGGGTACTGATGA